CCGCAGCAGGGTCTTCCCCAGGCCTGGCCCCGGGCTTTCTCTGTGGGCTGAGGCCTGAGAGGAAGAGCTGAGTGGCAGCCACGAGCAGCTGCCAGCTGAACTTCTCCGCAGCCTCCCTTCCTGTCTGAGGTGTGTTTTTGCCAAGCCCCACTGTCTGTTTCGGGGCAGCCAGGACCGCCTCAAAGAGGAGCCAGAGCGCAGAGATTTTTCCTACACAGCGCTTTCTCCCCGCAGGCCCCCTGCCCTCACTGCGGCAGAGTTCCTCCTTTCGCTTGGCCGAAATGCCCACTTTCCCAAGCAGCCTGTCCCTTTGGGGGTCCCTTGCGCCTCGAGGCTGACCCCAATCGTCTCTCACTGTCAAGTTCCCAGCGGTGCCTCCTCTCCTGCTCCATCGCTGGTGCTCTGTGCCAGTCCGCACCTGGCTCCCCTTGCCCCCTTGTGCCCTGGCGCCGCTGAGGGCGCTGCCAGTGTGCCCAGGCAGCTGCTTCCCCTGGTGCGAATCTTTCCTGCCCTCCTCCCTGGAGTGAGTGTGCAGTGACGTCAGCCCCCTCCCAGCCCCTTCCCAAGCGTCTGACAGCCTCACTGCCACTTGGTGGGACGCCCACCTGTGAGGTAGACGGGCCAGCGCCCTTGTCCCCATTTCACAGAGGCGAACACTGAGGCACACAGAGGCTGCGTTTTCCTTTCACGTTGGCTGCGGCCCATCTCTCTGCTAGGCTTTCAGGCTGCCTCTCTGCCGCCTCTCCTGTTCACATGGCCTGACCACACCACCCTCTTTGGCTTCTCTATTTGCTGCTAAATGGGAACTCAGAGAACACTGCAGTTCCTCCTGCACAGTTTATAACTCCTCGGCCCACCTGGCCCGCCATAGGCCTCCTTCTCTGTGGCAGCTCCTGTCCACTCCGTCTCCTCAGGACCCCTGGGCTGGGCCTCACCTGTTCTTGTGTGCCCGGCTCAGGTGTCTGACTGGTGATGGGTCTACTCTGGCCTTGTCTCCCTTCCTTGGATCTAAAAAAGGGGCAGGAAAGACGAAGCTCCCAGCCATTCCCGAGTCTCTCTCCGCCCCCCGCCCCATCCTGAAGTGGGAGGGTGGAGGCCCCCTCCTGAAGCTGCCCTGTCCCAGGCCCAGATCGTGAACATGGAGCTGGGGACCATGGCAGAGCTGAACACACCCGGAGAGCTGTGGATCCGAGGCTACTGCGTCATGCTGGGCTACTGGGGGGAGCCCCAGAAGACTGAGGAAGTAATTGGACAGGACAAGTGGTATCGGACAGGGTGAGAGGGCGGAGTGGGGCAGAGGGTTTGGCTGCTGAGGGGAAGCTGGGGGCAGTAAACTAGAAGAGGGAGAATATGTGTGTCACTATGGCCCCTTCTCAGACCTCGTTTCCACAATGTGTAAAATGGGGACGATCAGAGTCCGTGCCTCGGACCGCTGGACAGTGCGCGACACCAGTGTCTGCAAAATCAGAGCCAAGGGTAGACACTCATTTGTTAATTCAACAAATTCTTCTTCACCTGTCACGTGCCAGCACTCTTCCAGACACTGGCGGACCCGTAGAAAGCAAGATGAGAACGATCTTCCTGTTACTTCTCACATGTCTGGTGGAGGGAGACCAATACAAATAAGAGGGTTTCAGACATTGATAAAAATGAAGAAAAGAAAATGAGATCAGAGGAAAGAAAGGGCCTCTAATAGAGAGGGGAGCTTGAGTGGGCAGAGAAGGCCTCCCAAGGTGTGCACCTTTGAGCTGAGACCTGAATGATAGAAAAGAAGTCAAGCCCTGGCCAGGTAGCTCAGTTGGTTAGAGCATTGTCCCGATACACCCAAGGATGTAGGTTCGATTCCCGGTCAGGCACATACAAGACTCAACCAATGACCCAGCCAGTGTGGCTCATTCGACCTATGAACCAGGAGGTCATAGTTCGATTCCTGATCAGGGCACATGACCGGGATTGAGGGCTCGCTCCCCAGTGGGGGCGTGTAGGAGGCAGCCGATCAATGACTCTCTCATCATGGATGTTTCTATCTCTCCCTCCCTCTCCCTTCCTCTCTGAAATCTATAAAAATATATTTAAAAAAAAAATCAACCAATGAATGCATAAATAAGTGGAACAACCAATCAGTGTTTCTTCTCTCTCCCTCAAATAAATAAATTTTTTAAAAAAGTCAGCCATGAAATGCATAATCATAGATTTGTTGAGAAAGAGGCCATGTTATAGGTATTGGTTTGTTTGTTTTCTCCCTCCCCCCTGGACTGTAAGTTCCAGGGAATGTCTTGTTCATGCTGTAGCCTCCAGATCTAGGGCAGTGGTTCTCAACCTTCCTAAAGCCGCGACCCTTTAATAAACTTCCTCGTGTTGTGGTGACCCCCAACCATAAACTTATTTTCGTTGCTACTTCATCACTGTAATGTTGCTACTGTTATGAATCGTCATGTAAATATCTGATATGCAGGATGTATTTTCATTGTTACAAACTGAACATAATTAAAGCATAGTGATTAATCACAAAAACAACATGTAATTATATATGTGTTTTCCGATGGTCTTAGGCAACCCCTGTGAAAGGGTCGTTCGACCCCCAAAGGGGTCGCGACCCACAGGTTGAGAACCGCTGGTCTAGAGCAATGCAAGACACATAGTAGGTGCTCAATGAACGCTAGATGAATGAGTGAGTGCGCCGGCCGGTTGAGGCAGAGGCAAGAGGCCATTTCTGGCCTTTCCTTGCAGAGACATTGCCACCATGGATGAGCAGGGCTTCTGCAAAATCGTGGGCCGCTCCAAGGACATGATCATCCGGGGCGGCGAGAACATCTACCCCACGGAGCTTGAGGACTTCCTTCACACACACCCGCAGGTGCAGGAAGTGCAGGTGAGGCACCCAGTCCAGGTGAGCCCCAGGAGCAGGAAACCCCAGTGGGGATGGTGAGGTCTGAGACCTGTCTGTCACTCTGGAAGGTGGTGGGAGTGAAGGATGACCGGATGGGGGAGGAAGTCTGCGCCTGCATCCTGCTGAAGAGTGGGGAAAAGTCCACACCAGAGGAGATCAAGGCTTTCTGCAAAGGGAAGGTGGGAGCCTTAACGCACCCCAACTTATGGTGCTCTGTTCTTCACCACCCCCCCTTCTCCCTGCCAACTACTCCACCCACTGTCCCCTCCCCCAACCCCGTGATCCCCACCCAGCCTCATGCTTTATCTCCCTCTGGTCTGCAGATCGCCCACTTCAAGATTCCCCGGTACATCGTGTTTGTCACCACCTACCCCCTCACCATCTCAGGAAAGGTGTGTAAGATGGAGAAGACAAGGGAGGGGCAGGATAGCCCGGGGCCCCGGCACAGAAGGCCAGGTGGCCCTAACTCTGCCCCAGGGATGGGTAAGAGTATGGCCGTAGGATGACCGACTAGTCAACTCATCCTGGGTTTGCCCCAAAGTTTCCTGGCTTTCGCCTAAGAAACTCCTCAGTCCCTGGCAAACCAAGACGGTTGGTCAGCCTAGCTGGCAGAAGCCGCAAGCCTGGCTTTTATTCCTTTCTCTTTGCTGCAGGTCCAGAAATTCAAACTTCGAGAGCAGATGGAACGGCATCTAAACCTGTGAATAAAGGGGAGGGGGGTCCGCTAGGCCCTCCCTGCCCTTCCCCCACCTTCCCCTCGTCTGTCTTTGTGATTTGACATAAAGAGCTTCTCTGTTTTCTTTGGCTGATCTCTTGCTGGTGTGGTCTCTTGGCAGCTACTATGGGATGGAGGGAAGAATCCAAAGGGAAACTAGCACTTTCAGACCCACTCCTTATCAACGATGTGCTAGGCACTTTGGTGTGCATTTATCTACTTCATTTAATCCTCACTCGATCCCTTGAGATACCAAAGGGATTCAGTGAGGATTTTAAAGACTATACGCATTTCTTTTTCATATTATCACCAGATTAGTCCATCAAGAAGTATTCTTTTTTAATAACAGCTTCATTGAGATATAGTTCACATACCATCCAATTCCCCCATTTAAAGTGTACGATTCACTGGTTTTTAGTATATTCACGGATCTATGCCACCACCATCACAGTCAATTTTGAACATTTCCATCTCCTGAAAAAGAAACTCCATGCCCTTTAGCTATCATCCCACATCTCCCTCCCCCCAAAACAAATATGTTTTTTTTCATCAATGAACCTGGGTTTGCTTGATGGGCAGAGCCAGATAAAGCAGGCTGTACCTTGACCCAAGAAATAAAAACAGTACTTCCTGCTTGCAATCCTTACCCTCCAGCACAGTGGCCTTCTTCTCTTTTTAGACCATGAACGTACGTTTCGGGTACTCTGGGTGCCAGGCACGATGCTAGGCGCTTTCTTGCAATCTTCCCAACAACCCTGTCAAGTGGACATTAGCCCCATTTCACAAATGATGAAACGGAAATGCAGGGCCATCTGGTGTCTTGCCCAAGGTCACACAGCTGGAATTAGAACCTACTTGTCCGACTCCAAAGCCCATGATCTTCCCACTTCATGAACAGTTCAGGTGCCTACTTCCCCAGCCCTTCACCTGAACCCTGTCTCTCCACAGACACCACCCTTGGCTCTCCTCCCAGCAGGTGCGTGGTGGTGGTGGTGGTGGTGGTGGAGGAGGTGGTGGTGGTGGGGTCCGACCTAGGAGATGACAGCCTAGTCTCCTGGCCTAGCAGCTTCCCCTGGGATTTTTCTGCTCCTTCAACGTCCAGCCCAAGTGTCCTCTCCTCCCATACTGACTCCCCGGCCCTTGTAACAGATCCCCCACAGCACAGAGCAGACTGGCCTAGTACCCAGCAGATGCAGAATTAATATCTGTTGCCTTTTGTCTCTTGTTGGCTTGCTTCTCCTGTACTGTGACTTGGTCTGATGCATCCGATGTCCCCAGTGCCCAGCTCTGTGCCAGGCACATAAAATGTTAAGGAATTCACTGAATGAACTAAGAATTCCTGGGTGGGCCAGGGTCCTCGCCCCAGACAGGAACCTCCCGGCGGCCAGGGAAAGGAAGGCCAGGTGGCCGCGGTGAGCGCATATGTGCCCG